ATTAATCACACTGATTCACTTTATTTCGCTCCGAAGCTTCGCTTGTCTCGCCAAATTCAATACTGCCCCGATCGCGTATTGCAGAGCCTTTAAATACACCTTTTTCACCGAAACATCCAGAATATTCAAGTAAATACGCGCGACAGAAAGTTCGAGTGTGGAGCTTCCAGAACGCTTAGTTCTTCAATTCGATACTAGACGGCGCTGTTGAATGAAAGATTAGTCATGTCATTTTCTGGAAAGCTGTCCTCGCTCTGTTACCCGACACTAGATGGCGCTAGTGCCCGACGTCAACTTAGGCGCTTTCTTGGCCGCTGACGGATAGGCAATTCTTCTCCTGTGATTTTGTGTTGAACTAAGCCATTCTTTCCTATGTCAGCATCGTTTGATGAGAATACATCGGCGTACTTGAGTAAAAAATTTTTCGCCTTTACCATTTTGTTCGGGGAGAGAAGTCTTCCAAAAGTGTGGTCACTCTCGTTTGTGAAACCTTGCTGGGGGTCCCACTCGATAGATATTGGCACCGACGTAACCAATCCACTTCCTCACAAGTACCAACAAGTGTGCCTTTTTCTATAACCTGTTCCTGGTCACAAAGCTTCAGCACACGTACTCCTGAGATGTCAGTGGTTCTGACCAAGGTTCGAGCTACTTTCCATGGAAGGTCATTGTTTACCCTTTCCACAAGTACACAACGGTGAGCTTGCCCAGAGTTCCGAGGAAGACTAACCGGCACCATCGTTTCCGATCTCGGTGGAAGAACAATCTTCTTAATGCTGTACATGTTCCCTGGTAACGCACCTTCCATAAAAAATTCCTCCTGTCCACATTTCAAAACACCTTGCTTAACGTAGATCTCACAACAATTATTCCTCATAAAGTCTAGGCCCAGGATGCAGTCGTCCATTATATCAGCCACGATGACATTATGCAGGTAGATAATGTTTCCTAGCTTTAACTCCATCTCCTTCTCTCCACGGACGGGTATACGCTGATCAGTGGCTGTTACCAAATTAATGCGTTCTCGGTTGTATGCGGAGTCCCCAAGGAACTGACTTATAAGTTGGGAACTAACAACCATACGAGAGGCTTCAGTGTCTATGGTCAGTTTACACGGCATTCCGTTGATCTCGCCCTTGATGATTAGACTGTTCCCATCATGGGTTTGTGAGATCGAGATCCTTGGGGCTCTTTTAACATCAGCCAGCACCCGCCCCGCAGTTCTGGCTTTTACTCGTTTCCCTGCTGCTACTGGGCGGTGCTGTTGGCCGCACTATCCTCCTGAGATTTTTCACCTTCCCTTTCTAGGGTTCGCTTAGGGCAGCTGGATCGAATATGGCCCCCTTTCCCCACAGCCATAGCACCTAGGGCTGTATCCTTTGTTGCGGTCGCGAACTGTAGCTGCTGCAACCTCCCTTGACGCGATGACCAACGATGATCCTGCCGCACGGCTTCCACCTCCAGTGCATGGGCCAAGGCGTCCTTAAGCGTCTCGTGGTGCCCGAGCCTCACAGCAGCTCTGACTTCAAAGTCGCGGATGCCGTCGATGAATGTCTGCACCAAGTTCCCTTCAATGAGTGCAGGTACAGACCAGTATGCTTTTCGCACCAGCTTCTCCACCTCTAGAGCCCACTGCTGCAGGTTTTCGTTGATGCGCTGCACGTGATCTTTAAGCTGCGCACAAAAGACGTGTTCCAGGTGAGCGTCGCCAAATCTCGCCTCCAATGCCTCAAGGAGCTGCTCGTAAGTCACTTCCTCACCGAAAGCTTCCAGAACAGTTAAGGCCTGGTCACGCAGGCTTAGCGTAGGAGAAGTCATGGCCTGACTTTTATTCCAGCCGTTCGCTTTCATGACAGCCTCGAACTGGATTTTGTAGGCCGACCAGGAAAAAATCTCGTCGAACGGCGGCACTTTGAACCCACGTAGCGAAGGTGTTGTAGTTACTACGGGAGCTGTGACTCCATCCCCCAGTTTGAGGTCGTCCAGCGTTTTCTTCACGTCAGCCATCACGTAGTCTACCCAAATGTTCACTTGGTCGATTCGGGTTTCAGATTTCTCGATTCGGGTTTCAGCTTCCGACAGGCGGTTGTCATGTTGAGCAACCTTATCCTTCACCTCCTTCCCGATAGCGTGAAGGTCCTTCATGAGGAGCATCTGCTCTTCCAACCGACGGGCCTGTTCCTCTTGTCCGCCCCGCAGCTGCTCTTCCAATCGGCGTGCCTGTTCCGCCTGCTGGCGGGCCTGTGCCTCCTGCTGCTCTTTCAACCAACGGGCCTGTTCCTCCTGTCGACGGGCCTGTTCCTCCTGTCAGCGGACCTGTCCCTCCTGCTGCTCTTCCAACCAACGGGCCTGCTCCTCCTGTCGGCGAACCTGCTCCTGCAACATCACCATCAGAGCACCTAAGTCAGGTGCTGCAGATGTAGGAGCTACTGACGGGCCTGCAGCCGGTGGCTGGCCCTCCGACGACTGCGGCGTTGCACCACCAAATCTTCTTTGGTCCGTCTTCTGCTGGCGTTGACTTCGGGTACGGACACCCTCCGTTTCCTCCTTAGGTAAAATTGGTATGATTTTATCCCACTTCTGACACCAATTGTTACAAGCTTGAGGTTCGTGACAATTAAAAACTTCGCTTGTCTCGCTAAATTCAATACTGCCCCGATCGCGTATTGCAGAGCCTTTAAATACACCGTTTTCACCGAAACATCCAGAATATTCAAGAAAATACGCGCGCCAACCGACCAGGCGCCGAAAGTTCGAGTGTGGGGCTTCCAGAAAGCTTAGTTCTTCAATTCGATACTAGATGGCGCTGTTGGTTGAAAGATTAATCATGTCATTTTCTGGAAAGCTCTCCTCGCTCTCGTCCCTGATGCTAGATGGCATCTCGCATCTCTCTGTTACCCTCTCTCTCTCTGTTACCCGACACTAGATGGTGCTAGTGCCAGACGTCAACTTAGGCGCGCAACAATATGAAGGGATATTTATTAGTACTTTTAAAAACTTAAAATAATTACTCGTAAGTACTTAAACGTATAGATCATTATGTGTTTCTGGATTCTGTGGATCGCAATGATTTCAAAAGGAGTATATATATATATATATATATATATATATATATATATATATATATATATATATATATATATATACTCGAGTAATATATAAGTCAATGGTGGATCGTTTTCGTTTCATGTTATTTCTAAAAAATCGTACCATATCGCATATTATTTAATAAGAATAAAAATTAAGTAATACATTAAAAAAGAAAATATGTAATTTTCGTTTCCGCAGTATAGTGATATTGTTGGAATAGAATCGAGAGAACAAAAATAATAAATACTTCTCCTAAAAGTTTAAATCTAGATATGTAAGTAGATAGATTGTAAGGAGTAGAATGTAAGGAGTTATTAGCTTTCCATGAGATAATGTACTCACCTCGTGAGAAATCCACACAGATAAAAGTTGGCGCACATCAGTAGCTGTCTCGGCCAGTAATTGTCTTCGCACACTGCTTTGAAACCTGACTCTACAATTGCAACATATACTTCTATTTCATTGTATGCTGATCTAGAAGAATCCACTTTCTTAAAATCGCATATAAATACAAAAAAAACAGCAGCGTGACGAACGTCAATGCCGTTAAAGAAGATGTAATACCCGTCCGCCGGCCGCTTTAATATTTTAATTTATTTTTATTATTTGTGATAGCAGCTACAGAAATACACATTCTGTAAAAATTTCAACTGTCTACCTATAACAAATCTTGGGATAGAACCTGGTGACAGACAGACGGATGGACTGCGAAGGCTTAGTACTCTCTTATACAACATTGATTATTACATAATACTACTGGAAAGTCAGACTTCCGTTACCATTACTGAACAGCCTAAAGTCTACTGTTCAACACAGGCCTCCCCAATAGATAGATTGTCTTACATGGACACTTGACATAGTAATCACGTTTGGCAAGCGGGATAGCAACCCCGGTTTATTTTAATTTTTGGTCGTCATTAAGAAGATGCTGTCCATCTGATATGTTTCCCTCTGTCGCCTCTTACGACACCCAAGGGTTTACGGTAGTGGATATTCTTACACGGCCACTACACGCTCTTATTTAGCACTCTGGTTTGGAAAATGCCTTGGGAAGAACCAGCAAGAAATCCAGCGAGATTATATTTTTTATATAAATTTTTATAGAACCAGCATGATGGCGATAATCTAATTCCCGGTGCTTTAAATGTATCCCTTGATATTATGATAAACTTTTTTGTACAATTTTTCGACAATTTTATAATAAAACTTGTAAAATTGTTTATTGTCAAACTGAAAATTTTATATTCGGATATGGTCAAGTCATAATGTATTGGTACCTAAGATGCATAATATTTTTGCAGTTTCATTGTATAATGTCTTAAAAATTAGGTATAAATATTCGATGAAGGCGTCTACAACTTCTTCTTCCACTTCACCAGGGCGATGCCATTTTGTAATGAGGTAAAATATTTAACAGATCTCATAGTAGGGAAGTTAAACTGTTGAAAAAGTGTTATAAACTAATGTTTTTTTTTCTAAAATATATGTGTTATTTTGTATTATAAACCGAACTACGGATTGTCCTTAAAGAAGTATTAATAAAAAAAATGTGTAAAAATTAAAGAACACTCCACTGATGCATTGTTTTGTGCTCCTTTATACGCTAGAAACCGAAAAGCGTATATTTAAAATACAAAATTTCAATTACGATTACACCGTGTGGCCATTTGCGTGACAAATAACTTTAACTCAGTCCCAACTAGCGACATCTGGTGAGCGTATGAATTTAATTGCAAAATTAAACAACATAAGAATGTATTAAAGATCATTTATTCCGGATAACAGAGTATTTTGTTCTTGATGTTTGGTGTGTCCGCCTTCATCCTTATTTTTTTCAAGGTCACCTTATGTTTTGTTGGTTTTCTTCAAAGATGGTGTTTTTGTGCGTTTGAAGAATATGGTAAGTGCATTTAAATGGTGTAGGTCATTGGATCGTAGCCAGCGCCGGCCACTTGGTCGTCGATCCAGTTGCGAAGGTTCGAGACGTCCACGTACACTCCGGGTATGCCGACTTCACCGCAACCGATTCCCCAGGTCACGATGCCGCTCTGCATGTAGCGATCTGTTTCGTACTGCAAGGGAAGTCAACATTGGTTGATGAATAAAAAACAATATTTTTAAGGAATTAGGGATGCAAAAGTAAGGATGTTCCTGCCAATATAGGCAATATAGCAACCTACGTCTACTCTTGATAAAGAATCAATATGCAGATGCGTTGTCACAATGGTAGATAGAAGGAATCGTTACCAATAAAAATGGTGTCCGGTTTTCTACACTCACCATACGAAACACAGCAGCACTGAGATGATATTTTACGCCGGTATTCTATGTATTCTAGCTGGAGTGACGACCTGGTAAGGTGGTAAGACATGCAGGGAGTCGAGGGATTGTCAGTGATGACTTATGGATCTGAGACGTGGTCCTTAATAGCTGGCCGACCGACGAGGAAGCTCAAGGTCGCTCAGCAAGCTATGGGGAAGGCTATCCTCGAGATTTCTCTGCGTGGTACTCTTAGAAATGAGGAAATCCGCAGTAGAAAGTAGAAGTAAGTTAGAACTAGTAAGCTGAAGTGGCGATGAGCCGCCCATATAGCTCAAAAACCGACAACCGATGAGGAAGAAAGATTCTTGAATGAAAGCCTTGTACCGGATGAATAGGGCGTATTCCCCACACTAGATGAAGTGACGACTTGATAAGACATGCAGGAAGTCGATGGATGCAGGTGGCTTAGGACCGTGCTTTGTGGCGTTCGTTGGGGTGGGCCTATGTTCAGCAGTGGACTAGTGTAGGGCTGTAATGATGATGATTCTCTGCGAGCGTGATCCTTATACGGTCGAGCCATTTGTGATGCAGCTATAGCACATAACATCGTGGCTCTACCAAGTATAATGCCAGTTCAATGTTGTAAACCTTAATTGGTTGAAAGATAATTTTGTCAGTTTTACAGTGGCGGTGTGAGATAAGGAGATGAGCAGTAGCGTCTTCGTGTTACGCGCCCCCCTGGGCAGCTATAGCAAATCTGTGAAGCAATCTGTGTGGGAGATCAGTGTTCAGCATGAACTTTTATAGGATGTAAGGGAATAATTAATTTAGTATTGTCAGGCTCGTGCACAGGCGAAGAATGCCTCTTGGATAGAATAGAATAGAATAGAATAGAATAATTTTTATTCAATATAGATTACAAGTAATTCTTATTTAAAGTCAATATTTTACGATACCACTGCTTCGTAGAAAAACCTCTGTCCTGGGAAGAACCAGCAAGAAACCCAGCGGGACTTTTTTAAAAACCATTTTACAATGTCAAGGGTCACAAAATATTAACAAAATTTATTTTAGAAACAGCTTGGAAGCGCACCTCATTCCCAGAGGGTGGGTTGTAATTACATAATTTAATTCCTTCCTCCCCTTTCTACAATCTAACAACTTGCAGTCGGTGGGTCACCCCTTTGTATTCGATTTGTCACACATTTAAACCAAACGGTTTGATTCATAATGCGTACAGCAAAGGAGCGTACAGCAAATAAGATGCCGGGTTTTTTTTATAGAATGTGGTAGGGAACGTATGTGGCGAGGATTTATAACTAGTTCCCAGCTTAATGAGTAGAAATGTGGGTAAAACCATGGTAACTCAGTCGAGCGAGCAACCCGGGTATAAACCCCGCCGGCACCAATGAGGTTGTTACAATTTTAATTGCCGAATTTACCACGTGCGCGACGATGAAAGAAAACATCGTTAAGACACCAACATATATGAGAAATAAAATAAAAATATTTCTAAAATTCTGCAACATGCATAGAAGCAGTGCGGTAGATACTACTTTGACCCATAAACCCTTTATGAAAAAGGCTAGTAGTGTGACGTATATAGGCTGTAATTATAAAATCGAGATGTCTTCTAGGTAAGAATGAATAAATAGGCTTTTGTTATGCTAGGACACTGTGATTTCGTAGGTTTGAAGAAAAACTCTGAATAATTGGTAAAAACACATATGTTTTTACACACGATAGAAGAGAAACCTTCAGTAAACTAAACTTCTAAATAATGAGACAAATGCGGAGTGTTAGGATATTTATTTTATCGGGATCACTAAGTTAATATATACAAATAATAATTTAAATGAATATTTTCTTTTGAGTAAAACTGCTTTGTAATACGCCGCCATCTACTTAATTCTAAAGGTAAAGTCATTTTAACTCACAAAAATTTATCGAATCTCAAGGTAGTACGTAAAAACAGTATGTTATTTAGTATATATCAGTAATTAATAAAATGGTGGATTGCCATGAATGGATTGAATGTAATAATTTTACTCATTGTGGTTAATTTAATTTAATAAATTAGTAATTTTTAACAGTTTGTTTTAACAGTTAAAAGTTATAATAACCATCTTTATAGCACCGCACTAATAGGAGACAGGGATAATAGGAAAGGTATACTGTATTCCTCATTCTTTCGCAGACTTAATCCTAAAGATGTATATGTTTGTCACTTTTAAGTGTCGCTTTTTCGGCACTAAGTTTAAAATTTCTACGATTTTACAAATAAAGAACTATTTATTAGACACACACATTTCAAGAAGTATATAGTCTGTTCGCTTAGATACGGTCGCGTTTGTGTCGCGCCGCCTTGGCACGTACTGCATCTTGTCAAAGGCGCCGCCGCGACATCAAAGGAGGAGCACACCAGCAGAAGAATTTGGCATTTTAAATCTAGGGGTCGTAGTGGAAAGTTCTTTGCTCCCTAACTTTTGTTTATTATTTATATTTGTATTTTATTACAATAAATATAAAAATAAAATTGTATTCTGTAACACATTTCTGGTGTATCGACACTATTTTAGCGAACAGACTAGGTATATAAAGGTAAGGGGCAGAATATGAATGCAACAGTCTAAGACTGCTTAATTAATAACAAATATATTTTAAAAACGCAAAGAATAAAAACATAAAACTAAAATGTACATTAAATAGGTGTCCAACTCAGTATAATGCTGCAAAAGCAGCACTGGTTTTCAGTTGGAGCCTTGTGCTTTCACCGAGAAGTCATTGTGTGATCCTCCAATTTACAAGTTACAGAGAAATTAATAATTACGATGAGTGGTGCTACACATCTGTATAAATGTTGGATCGCCATGTTGGTCTAGTGGTTGTAGTAATGCGACTGCTAGTCATGAGATTCCGGGTCGGACCAAAAAATATCAATTATTGAGGTTTTCCATCAAGAAATTTTCACTTTTTTCAATTTTTATTATTATTATTATTATAAATGTAATATTGAGATTCTAACAAAGCTTTCGCTTTAAAAATACAAACCTCAATAGGGCAGCTCAGTGGTGAACCACCGTCCCCTTCGCAGGTGTCTTTGCCAGCTTCCCCACCAGCGCACATGAACGAAGTGTGCAGTTCGAAGGAGTGGCCAAGGCTCGTATTCTGTAGTTGTGTTTGACATGTCGACCGTTCGACAACCGGCACTTCCACCTACAAATAATTTTTTGTACTATAAGGATGACAAATGAGCAAACAGTACTCCTGACAGTAAGTGGATGCTGCGGCCCGTAGACATCTACATCTATCCTCGATTAAGAATCAAAATGCAGATGCATTTATTTTTTTTATTTATTTATTTTTTAAAAAAAACGTTACCCCTACACTAGGATTTTCTCCTGTATCGCGGGGGCAGTTTACAAACATAGATTGCACAAGGACAAACATCCAGACCCGGAACAATTATTTATAGGCCATACAAATACTTGTTCCGTGCGGGATTCGAACCCGCGACCCCCAGCGCAGCCGCTCATTGCTAAGCCACTGCGCCACGGAGACGTCATTGTCACCCCTGAAGACTAAGATGGAATACTTCGTTTTCAGTAAAAAAAGGTCTCCGGTTCTCTACACTCACCTCACGAAACACAGCAAGATTTAGCCGCTATTCTACGTTGGTATTCTGTAAGAGCGTAGTCGGGTCGAGGAAACCCATTCTTGCTACAACCATAATATATCTACAGCATGGCTCTACTACGTAGTTTATTTCCAATTATTGACTTGTTTTTCGCTACAACACGACATGAGATAATACTCATCTCCACTCATATTATCGCGTGAGTGTCATAAGAGACGACAAAAAGAAATTTTAACAGGAGATGAGACGGCTGTATCTTCCTCAAACTAACAAAAGTATTAAAAATCTGCTGTTAAGGGGAAATATAATCTCAAATGGCTTAGCAAGATCCTTCGTTATGCCGAAAATATTGCAGCATTAATTTTGAAATAAATATATGGTAAAGTTGAGGATTAATGTTAAGAATTATGTTAGACGAAAACACGATTTCGTAAAATTTTCTCGATAGAAAAAAAATCCAAAGTTATTCATAAAATACTTTAAATAAGATCATGAAACTTTGCATACTCACTGAACTAATTATAAAGCAGTGCTTATGTTATTTACTCTTTTTAAAATACCATTATTTTCACTATAAAAAGAAATTACCTAAACAATCGGCCTCTTGAAGCGTGATTCCTGCGGCCCGGTCACTTCGCTTCAGCCTTTGAAGGGGGAGGTTGTGTCGCTTACGATCAGAATATACATTACGCAACAGGACGGGACGTAAAATTAAATATTGGCTAAAAACCTTTTTTCAAGAAGGCGCTTGAAGCACTACTTGGATCTGTCAGCATTTTGTGATTTTATGCTCAGTAAGTGATACCAAACCTTGTAAAAATAAAAATTGGATCGGAAATTTAGTGCAAAGTTAAATTCTATTTTTACTATACTGTTAATAAAAATTTAAAACTTTTTTTTTAATAGATAAGTCCAGCATATTTTCTGGGACTTTGATGTAAAAGCGTATACATTGCTCCATGACGTAATTACTGACTCTTTGGAGTCGAGTAACTGGAGAGGAGACTTGTGCCCAGTAGTCAGACGTATAATATAGATAGACGTATATATCATATAATTGTTTTCAGCGGAAGTTTATATGGCCATTGTTTAAAAGAACATTTTGAGAGGTATACACCAAATTTGTTTTGAGAGTGCTGTTTTATCAGGCTGAAGCCGAGCCAATAACCATAACATAACACAGTTGATTACAAAGCGTAAAAAATACAAAATAAGGATTAATTTAACGGTATGGCGTTCTAGAATATTACAGAATAAGCACATTAGAACATTATATAATACACATAATAGAACGGGCTTTAACAAAACAAAATACACATAAATTGTGTTGCAACACTGGCCGCCATGTATACTAGTACGCTGGACTGACACTACCCTACAAAACTTTTGTGCCGATTTGAAGTGCCGCCATTGATTGTACCGGGAAAAAAATGTAACATAATTTTCAACTGGCCGTTGTTTTGCTCTAAACGTCTAAGAGTAATTTAAAGTTTAAACCGAGAAAAGGAGTGTGTGTTGTGTAGTTTGATTATGTTTCATGGTAATCATATAATAATTAGTACTTTAAGTAACAAACTATCACGGTGTCAAAATGTCTACTGGAGTATAATATACTCTTTGGTTACAGAACAAAATACTTGATTTTTAAAAAATTATTTAAAGGCAAAAGGAATCATTGTAAATACGTCCTTATTTAGTTAAAATTAGTTATCATATTTTTTATCTATTTTCATTAAGCAAAAAAAAAGGAAATTTCAAAGAGTTTAGTTCTGATTCTTCCTACATCATGATCATTAAACATACCTTTTTGAGGATAAACTGGTATCTTCCCTCCTTCCCGAACTTGTCCTTGCCCCAACCGGAAGCAAAGCAACTAGTGCCACCAGGGACTCTCTCGCGTGGTGGTGGCAGACATACTACACCGACGTTTGGTGTCAAATCCATGGGTTGTGCCAGGAATAGCAATGCAATGTCATAGAAGGCCTTGACTGTAAGAGAAATTAGTGCTTTGTTTCCGACTTTGAGATATTTTTTCGTAAAGTTTTATTTAACTCGCGATATAATATTGTGCAGTTTTAGAGACACAAAGACCTAATCCTTTTTAGCTGAGATAAGCTAACAAGCAAGGTTAATACTGTTTTAAATAGGAACCAGTGCGTGAAAAATTACGAATAATACACTTTTTTTTCTATGTTCTCTACTGGTATGAATCAAAGTAATCACCCATGCAATCGATGCGTCTTTGCCAACACATTGGCAATTTATTTATGCCCTTGAATGGTTAAAAACTATTTACAAAATTAATTTTAGAAACATAAATAAGCGTTATTATCAACCATGTTTTCATACAGTTTTTGTTTAATAAAATATTCAAACTTGGTAATAGAGAGACCTTTATAATTTCTGGGATTTTGTTGTAATAGCGTATACATTGCCCCAAGAATGAATTACTGATTCTATGGAGTCGAGAAACTAGTATCACTAGCTTGTGTTTCTTCCTAGTATTTACAGAGTGTATATCACTTTTTTACTAAAACTACCTTTGTTTTTGTGAACATACATACTTAAAATTTTCGTAAAGGAGAGGTCTAGAGTTCAAAGTTTATATATATTGAGTCCTTACATATGAAATTAGGGTTTTGTCGTACTGACCACTTTGATCTGAAATATCTCCTCTTTGGTTAAGAATTCCAAATTCAAATTTATCAATTCATTTAGCTGGTACATTTGATTTTTAAAACAGTCATTCTTTTGTTTTTCCCTCATTATTTTTTTTATGGGATAGGGTGACAAACGAGCACCTGATGGTAAGTGGTTGCTGTGGCCCATAGTCATCTACATCTATCCTCAATTACGAATTAAAATGCAGATGCGTTGTCACCCGTGAGGACTAAGATGGAATGCCTCGTTTCCAGTAAAAAGGGTCTCCGGTTCTCTACACTCACCATACGAAATACAGCAGCATTAAGCTACTATTTCATTAAGCATTAAGTTACTATACTCGCTGGTATTCTGTGCGAGCGTGGTCCCTCCCCGGTTGAGCCGACCCATTCGTGCTAGAACTGTACACGTTTTGTTTGCACGTTTTCGTTCTGAAAATTTCGAAGAGAATTAAAGGCTAATGTGGAAGCGGATCCATCACAAAGCACTTCAGAGATAGCTGCAGGCTTCGGAGTAAGTGGTAAAACTGTAGTAATCCGCTTGAAGCAAATCGAGAAAGTTAAAAAAAAACTAGAACGATGGGTACCTCATGAATTAAGTGAATTGAACTTGCAGCACGCGTCGACTGCTGTATTACTTTGCTAAACCGACACAAAATGAAGAGATTTTAAATCGAATCATTACTTGTGATAAAAAGTGGACACTGTACAGTAATCGGAAGCGCTCGTCGCAGTGGCTGAACCCTGGAGACCCAGCCAAATCTTGACCTAAACGAAAATTGACTCAGAAAAAATTATTTATGAGTGTTTGGTACACTAGCGCCGGTGTCGTTCACTACAGCTTTCTAAAATCTGGTCAAACGATTACGGCCGATATCTATTGCAGCAACTGCAAACCATGAAGGAAGAACTAGCTGCTGAACAACTGATATTGGTCAATCACTCTAGGCCACTGCTGCTTCACGACAATGCAAGACCACCCACACAACAAACAACCACTAAGTTAGATGTGCTACAACTGGAATGTCTGCGACATCCACCGTACTCCCCGGACCTTGCTCCAATAGATTACCATTTTTTCCGGAATTTGGACAACTTCTTACAAGGAAAAAAATTCAACGATGCGGCAGTCCAAATTGCCTTCAATGAGTTTATTGATTCTCACTCCTATTGTTTTTTCAGTAAAAGGATCAATGAACTACCTATGAGATGGCAAAATTGTATAGATAATAACGATGCATACCTTGATTACTTAAATATATTTTAGAAAAAAAAATTGACTTTATATTCCTCCCGTACAAAACGCCAATTTCGTATGTAAGGATCTATTATTTATTTCTTTAAATTTTTCTCAAAGCCATTAATGAAATGGCCAGTAATGCAGAACGGCAATTTCATAGGTAACCGATTATAAATTTAAAAATTTAAGCGAGAGTGGTCGCTAACCAACTTTAATTCGTTATAGATTCTAAATGGCCATTAAAAATGAAAAATGACTACAAAAACCTAAATACGATTTTCAAAGACCTAATAAAAAAACTAATACGAATAATATTTTACATACAAAATACTGATAGCTTGGAAATCTGCAAATTCATTACCAAATACCCAGAATTTTATATCAAACGAGGAGAAAGTAATATCAGATACCAATTACGCCATAACGAAAAATTGAGTATACCCATAACTCGCCTTAAACTACATTTATCAGGTTCCTTCATCATGTCTATCAAAATTTTTAACAAACTCCCAAACTCAATAACAAAAAATAGAAAAAAACACTAATTTTATAAATAAACTAAAGGAATTTTTAATTTGTAAACACTACTACACACTAAACGGATACCTAAATGATAAACTTTAAATGTCTACCTAGAATACCTACAGTTGCTTTGTTATATAGTGTATTCATCATTATTATTTAATTAAAATGGCCCTCCGCTCTCTTAATTGCCGTGCCCTGCAGGGCCCATAATGATCTCATAGTTTTAAGTTAAAACTTAAAATGTTCTCAACACCTTAACTGTAACATTATGGATGCAATAAATAATATGAATATGATTATGAATAATCACTGAAACTCTGCTTGACATAAGTATCTTCGACTTCATACATTCATACATTGACGTAAGAATCGAAATCTGCCCACGCGTTTGCTTTCTAGAGTGCCATAAAGGAACAAATATACATACATATATACGTACATACATTGGCTGATAAACACATTATCGAGTTGAACTTCGAGTTACAAGTAGAGACCGATAGATGGCAGTTTGACCACCTTGTGTATCTTCATCTTCTTCGTCAGTCCATAAAATGTCACTGCTGCACGTGGGTCTTGTGCGTTAAAAGAAGAATTACACTTAATAGCCACGCAGGAACAGATATCCTGAAACTTTGTATACCGTCGCCAGTCAGGGTAATTTATAACTGACGTAAACGAAATGGTTACATCGCCAATACTATTACCACCATCTGACGGAAAACATACGAGCTTATTGGCATTTACCACAGTTACCTTATACGACACCTTACCCTCCGCAGTCTCGTAAAAAGAATTAGGTGTGTCTCTATGTTCACAAAGTCATAACTTTGTCACTTAAGTGTTTTGTTTTAAACCTTCTGCGACACGATGTGTTATTTCCCACTCACCTTTGTTAAAGTATTTGTGAACCTCGATTCTGGCCACGTCCCTATCCTGGTGTGGATAGATCTCCTTAGTGGTTTGGGTATCCCATTCTCCAGCTCTGGCCACTAGAGCTTTAGCTCCGGCGACATTGTGCGCTGCCGTCAGCACAATACTAGGATGGATCAGGGATCCACCGCAGAAGTAGACATTCAGCTTCTGGCCGTTGGGCTCATTGTCGCTCGCAGGCACGATTCTGGAATCAACGTAATCCGAACTTGACATATTACTTATATTAATTTGTAGGTTTCTATATTTAAAAACGATTCGTTTTCCTGTACGATACGTTTTACAATACATATAGTGCAGAAAAACCCTTTTTAGAAAGAAAATTCTAGTTTATCAACTTACGCACCTCATCTAAGGGATAAAAGTTATCTAACATCTAATAAAATGAAAATATGAAACTATTTTATTAAAATAATTTAATTTTTTTATAGGATAGAGTGACAAACGAGCACACAGTCCACTTGATGGTAAGTGGTTGCTGTGGCCCATAGAAATCAACATTTTTCCTCGATTACGAATCAAAACGCAGATGCGTTGTCACCCGTGAGGACTAAGATGGTATGCCTCGTTCCCAGTAAAAAGGGTTTCCGGTTCTTTATACTCACCATACGAATCACAGCAGCATTAAGCTACTATTTTACGCTGGTATTCTGTGAGATTCGTGGTCCTTCCCGTTTTATAATATACCGTGCTGCCTATTAAAGTCCACTGCCAAACATAGGCCTCCCCTATAAATTTCCGTACAGGACGGATATTTTCTGCGCCCTCTTTTCCCAAAAGAGAAAAAATTAGTAAAATAAACATGTTAAACATGCACATTGCAATATGAAATGCGGATCATTATGGACGCCGTCTCACCGCCACTCCGCTGCAACTCCGCGGATGTTAGGAACCCCTGTCTCATGGCAAATAAAGGCCAAATACTTAGGCGTCACTCTTGATGCAAGGCTCACTTTCGAGCCCCATATCAGGAAAGTAACTCGAACCACGCGATTTTACATGAGTAGGCTCAACAGCATGTTGGGCAGACACAGTAAAATGTCCCTCTGCAACAAGCGAACCCTATACAAGGACTGTATACGACCTGTTATGACCTACGCGGCCCCCATTTTCGCACATGCTAAACCCAACATTATAAATGAACTTCACATAGTTCAAAATCTATTCTGTCGTAGGGCCACGAACTCGCCCTATTATTTCCGAAATGCCGACCGAGACTTAGAGCTCCCAACAATCCAGCAGTTCCTTAAATCACTCTCTGAGAGATTTTTCAAAGCCTCAGAGTCCCACCCAAATCATCTCTTTCGTGAGACAGCTGCCTATGCAGCCCCTATCCACACTCGCTATAGTGTGCGCAGACCGAGAAACTCTCTCTCGGACTCCCCCAACAAGCTTTCGGCTGACCTGAACTGCCTCCTGGCGGCTCAGGCCGAGCCTACATAACACATCCCTTAATCTGCCTTAGTTAGGCACTCTTCTAAGCGGCTTGTCGCCGCTTGCGGCCTCCTTTCTGCCAAGGAGGGTCGCGTTCGTATACGGCTTAGAGATCTCTAGTTAGACCATTAAGCCAGTCCCTAAAAGGCGGTGTTTAGTGGGTAAAAGTCTCCACATAACCACGCAGCCGACTGCGTGGTATGCTATGAGCATTCACCGCCTCGCTCCCCCGCTTTCCGAAGTGTTGCCCATATTTGCTTCGGGCGAAAAAAAAATCATTATGGAGAATGAAACGCTGAATATACGATTCGGGCAATAGTGACTCATCAATTTCGACTAGTCGATATAGAGTTTAATAATACAATTAATGACTATAACGAGCAATCTATCTATGGACGATTGTATACACAGTTAATAAAATAAAAAACAGTGTATGAAAAAATTGAAGCTATGAATTCAGAAGTTATTAAATTATGTAGTATAGCCACGCTGCAGCTATATTAAGGTTCTAGCACGAATGGGTCGGCTCGACCGTGGCAGGATCACGCTCTCACACAATACTAGCATGAAATATCGGCTTAATGCAGCTGTTCCGTATGATAAGTGTAGAGATTCGATACCGTTTAGATACCCTTTTTACTGGAAACGAGGCATTCCATTTTAGTCCCTAGTGGTGACAAGGCATTTGCATTTCGATTTTTTTGGGAATAAATGTCTATGAGCCACCGTATCCATTTACCATCAGGTGGACTGAATATTAAATCTCTATTTATAATTAAAAACATTAGGTACATACTATTGGAAAATATATGAAAAAATTATAATAAAAAATACGTGTGGCACTCGGTGACTGCCGCGGTAAAGCTATTGCATAGCATTTTTTATCAACTTATGCAATTATAATTATTTATTTATTTTATTTATGCAGTTAAGTCTTTGATATTAAATCAAGTTACACTTTTTGAGCGTGGTGACCGATAAGAAAACAATTTTTTTTTTCTTATTGAATAAATGAGAAGTTAATATTGTTTAAAATATTCTTAATATCTTACAATACATGTAGGTTATTCAGGAATTTTTATCATTGAGTTAGCAGCTAGTGTAAACGCTTACGTCTAGTCGCACGCACACAAACACCGTGCCGAAGTCTGCCGAGTGCCGAAGTCTGCCGAACTGAAACGACGTTAGACGATGCACGGCTTTCAACGCCACACCTCCGTGCCCATCGGAGTGGGGAGCGTGAGGTTTTTTTTCGTTACGGAATTTCTGGATTCGGTCCCCGCGCTCAAGGCCCGCGATAGAAGCTATGCAATCGCTTAAAACTAGGACTATATGATAATTTAAGTCATTAGTTTTCTCCCCCGTGATATCGTGCCAACAACGCTGGCTGTGGTTTCCTCGCTGAATGGCTGTACTGACCCTTTGAGCGACAAAAGTACCAGCCCGCTTATCACCAACAGCGACGATCAGTTGCACGTAACACAGTTCCTTTAGAAACTTCACCGCACGAGGACTCCAGGGTCGATAGTCTCCACAGCAAATGGCACAAACATGTAGTCTTCTCTTAGATACTCTATGTACACTACTTAGTTCAGATACCTTTGATGCTGCCCTGGCTCTAAACGAGGTACGCCTATATATACAGGGTTATTTTACAGTAATCTGCCTAATATGCAGATAAGAATAAGAAAATAATATAGGCAAATGGTGAAGAAAAGTTAATAAAAAATCTCATCAAGTCAAGTCAATAAAAAATCATTTTTTCGAGGGTAGGTGTAAAAAAAGTTAACACGTTTTGATAAGAGCTCTTTAATTTTTAAAGTTATAAAATTAATTTCACAGTATTATTTACAACTTTTTCAATAATATAATTAATAAATGTGACTTATAGTACCCACCGGACAGTATTTCCCTAGTAAGTCTCTAAAATTAACATCACTTCATAAACTTATTTTTTGGTTTATTTGCACTGTCACTACACATCACTATGGACTCAGTTAAAGAATCACTCAATGCTCTGGCAGAAATGTTCCAGCAGAAAATGAGTGAGTTTCAACAGGGCCTTGAAAGTACACCAACAACTAACACAACCCTGGGAACAGAGTTCAACAGTTTCAGGAGCTTTGTGCTCTCTGCAATGAACACCCTACAGAGACAGGTTGAATTCCTTAGCATTGAGCTTGATCGTCAGGAGATGCGTAGAAGGCGCAAAATGCTATTGTTCCATGGAGTCAGCGAGCAGAAAACAGAAGATACTGCTGCGCAGGTCTGTAACATTGTGGGTGAACATCTTGGTGTGACTGCCTTTTCTGCAGCTTGCATTAAAACTTCTCATCGCATGGGACGTCCCTCTGGCAAGAAACCCAGGCCAATATTGGTGAAATTTACAGACACTGCAATGCATGACAAGGTTTGGTTCTCCAAAACTGGATTAAAAGGCAGCGGTATTACTCTGTCAGAGTTTTTAACAAAGAGCCGTCATGGCTTGTTTATGGAAGCAAGGCAGCGATTCGGTATCAGTAAGTGCTGGACTAGGGACGGCTTTATTCATATCATAGCCCCTGATGGTTCGCGTCATCGAGCTGAGTGTAAGGCTGATCTGGACGGCATACCTCAGTTGTCATCTAAGCCTCTGACTCAAGGCACTGCTAGTCTTACTTCGAGGTCCAAAAGAATAGTAAAGACTAAGTAAACGATGCATTTAATATTCTTTTCCTATAATTTTACTTTTTGTTTGTTTATATTACATTAGTTAGAATATACATTGTAAACACAAATTTTCATCCATCTTCCTCTTTATTTGTATACTAACGATATGTCATAGTTTTACAAACTTTACGATTTGTTTTTATATAACGGTTTAAACTATTTAACCCTCATATTTATTTTTATAAGCTTGCATTGAAACTAGTAGATAAGTAGTTCGTTTTGTTTATCTTTATGACAGCAGTACTGTTTGACATCTAGCCACAGACAAAATATCTGCCGTGGCTACAAGGGTTTTTGTGTAGTAGAACCATGTTGTTTATAATTTTTTATTTTTGTTTATTTTTGTTCATTTTTAAGTATATAAATAAGTATTTTGTGTGTTTATAGTTACAATTATTTTTCTTTTTTTCTTTTTCTGTAAATGCTATTAATTTTCCTTCTATGAAGTGAATCTTTCCTTGCAACTGGCGGGTGGGTTTGTAAACCATTTTTTTCTTTTTTTCTTATATTTATTATTTATATTATATTTATAGTTTGATATCTATGATTTTCAATAATGATAATTTAGACGACAGTTTTTTTCCCTCGGTGATTCAGATGGATTGAGCAGTAATGACAGTTATCATAGCATCCCTTCTTTAAGTGAAACTCTTGATTCTCATTTCTCAGATACTCTGAAAAACTTTAATGTTGTTCATATAAATGCCCAGAGTATTCCCGCACATTATCCTGACATGTTGTCCTCATTTTATAATGAAAATATACATGCGATATTAGTTTCTGAATCTTGGTTAAAACCATGTTTGCCTTCAATATCTTACTCTCTTCCCGGATTCCACTTGATTCGCAACGACCGCCTTGGGCGCGCTGGCGGTGGCGTGGCGATTTATTTAAGATCACACATTCCTTACACAGTTTTAAATACTTCGCAGCCAGTGTCTAGCGCCGGCCCTGAACACCTATTCATCGAAATATTGTTTGGACATTTAAAGCTTCTTCTCGGTGTCTATTACAGTCCAAATGTTACAATTGATTATTCTTCAG